CCGTTGACTTGCATTCTCATCCAAATTAAAACACTCTCGCACAACAGTATCACCTGAAATATATGGTCGGATTATGAGGGCATCTCCAATCTACGTTGAAGCCGATTTCAATCAATTCTAATGCTTTCAAAAGAATAAGAAAATGAGGAAGTGCAGAATCTATGAAATGTTAATTACCGCATTTTCGAAGGGCTTCAATTTCTTTTCTCCTCTTCTTGTCGGCCTCTTTTCGAACAAGAATATCTGCCACACCGAGTGTAAATCCATGATACTGTAATAAAAAAAATTAATAATCAGTGAAACCAAAAGGCAAATACTCAAAAAACCACCCCTGGCTCGTCCAGGAGGGGAGGAGAGGTCTTTGTCTCCTCTGAAGGGCTCAGGTAACACTTGTTTTACTGTAGAAAACTCTTTCCGATATCCCCTGTTGCCGAAGTTTAGGGTTGAGTAGCGAGGAGAGGGACGACCGAAGGGGAGGGAGGGGGTAGCTGGGTACCCGAGGAGAAGAGGGGAGGTGGAGCTTCCCTCATAGTGACGAACAGGGAAGAAAATCCCCCCTCCCTCTCCCCTGCCCCCTCCACCCCTGAAGGCCCCTAGATTCGCCTGAGAAAACCACAGACAGAAATGAAAATAATACAGAACGGCTAGAGGAAAACAAGACGGAAGTTTCCAAGTGTTACGATTTAAACATAAAAAACCCTCCCGCCTGTCTAATAGAATTTTTATGAAACGCAAATCAGCAGAAATGAACCCTTCACATAAAATTACTCAAAACGATGCCTCAAGACGACAAACAAACCTGAAGATGAGTTGTGAAAAGTCGCGACAGGCAGCTCAAAATCCTTATGGCATGTCGATGGCCGTATAAATCCCAGCAGCAATGTATTAGGCCGTATTGCGTGCTTCCATAGTGCTGTTTATCCAGGACTCCAACCAACAGTTCTGCCTGTCTAAAATTTTGAAAATTGTCGATTTTTTTGATTGTCACATAATGATTTATTGCTTTTTGTTAAAAACTGCGTAAAGAGCCATTGCATCATCATGATGCAACACCCGGTTCAATCTTTGGATATCCTATCCTCTTTGAAGTTATGCAGTCTTTGTGATCTGTGGTCATCCGAGGATAAAAGCACTCCTTCCCATTTCCAGGCCCTGGTGTGTTTTGTTCCTCCCTCAGATTACCTTGTTCTGGGGAGCTTCGGCTCCCCAAAGCCTCGCCACATTTCATTTATTGTTCGCCCCTCGTATTTCAAGTACTTTGCATAACCGTCGTCTCTTGTATATAATTATAAACATATAGCTATTACTAGATGTTGGATCATACACACTCACCAAACATACTCCACCACACATACTCCACCACACATACTTCACCACACATACGCACAACACACATATACACACACACGCACACACATACGCACACACAGACACACAGACACACATACACACATACGCACACATACTCACACTCCACCACACATACACATACACACCCACACACACACACACGCCCACATGTAGGGCACGCACACGAGTCTAACCCACAATCTTTAAGGTCGCTATAAATATTAGCAGTAAGCTATTATTACTGATGGATAGCGGACTAATAACACCGGCATCCTTATAAGATACAAAAAGGTATTTAAATATCTCATTTTTTCAAAAGTCGTAAAAGATTTTTTTCTATCATACGAAAGTCAGCAAAAATTTTGGGGCCCACATAATACAACTACTAAACTACAGGGTCGAAAAACTGGTGTGATTCCCAATCATGTACGGGATCACCCCTAAAATCAGCTCTCCTCTGTGTTTTAACTTAATATGTGGAGGGATAAATGCGAGCATACTACCGGTATTTGGTGCAGCTGAGTCCCATGCATTTTTATGGCCAAAAACTAGGAATCTGATTTTTTCAACAGTTTTTCCATGCCATTTGCGCACTTTAAACCTTAGCAAAAAATGGAAAAAATGAGGAG